CACCTGTCAGATGAACTGGGACAAACAATGCCCATGCAATCTCATGCAGAACGCCAATGCAATCAAGGACAAGTGGACGTCTTTCCACTGGCAACTCATAAGCTGGCCACACACTTCTAGATTTCTTTCGCTGGGCCTGTAGGCAAAACCTTGGATAGAGTAGGGAAGTGTTGGACCCCCCTGTCAAATTTGTATTGTTGCCTGTGTCCCCACTGGACCTCTCTATTTGTAATGGTGACCATTGTTATCGAGAAAGAAGGTGAGGCGATAACAGAAGTCACCAGCACTCGAAGATATGTGCCAGTAGTAAGGCACTTTTTATTAAATCGTCACATGCGTCAAACAGCCAACGTTTCGGGGCCACGCAGGGTCCTTTCTTCTGGGCAACATAGTGAGTGCAGGTGATTTCGTATTATCAATTGCACTTTGTGTTCAGACACTTTTTGGATTAGGTCACTATGTCGCCCAGAAGAAGGGACCCTGCGTGGCCCCAAAACGCTGGCTGTTTGACGCATGTGACGATTTAATAAAAAGGGCTTTACTTCTTGCACATATGTTCCAGTGCTGGTGACTTCTATTATGGACTGTATCTGACACAGCGCCATCCGTGTTGTCACTTCAAGCACCAACCTTTCAACAAGGTCTGTACGCTGTATGGAGTGCACGTGATTTCGTATTATAGAAGGTGAGGGGAAACGCAAAATTTACATCTCTGTTTACACCTGGGATATTTCCCATGTCGGAAGATGACCCTTTTTATATAAAAAGGTAAAAAGCAGTCATGAACCATCTCCCTAAAGCTGGCCATACACCTATAGATTATCTGCAGATTTTCTATGGTCAGATGGAAAAAGTGCAACAGATTCCTCCATCTACGCTAAACTGTGTGAATGGAGGAATCTCCCACTGGGCCGAGCTTCAGTAACTTCCTATCTGGCCCCGCTGGCTCTCAAAATACCTGAACACTCCGATTGAATGCAGGCATTGTTCAGGTGTTTTGAGAGCCAGCGGGGCCGACTAAAAAGATACTGAAGCTTGGACCAGTGGGAGATTCCTCCATCCTAGAGCTGCTAGCTGGAGGAATCTGTTGCACTTTTCCCATCTGACCATAGAAAATCTATAGGTGTATGGCCAGCTTAAGCCTCATCAGTCTCCACACACGTATTGTACAATTGCCTTTAGAGCTACCAACAAGTATGTAGCACAAGGACCTGTCTGATTGGATAACAATTGATCAGATGGTTTAGGTGGGTCCTCATATTACATACTTCTAGTTGATTGTACAGTCATATTGTAACATGTATGGTGGCTCTAAGGCCCCATTTACGTCTAGGAGTTTTGTTGCTTCTTTTCTCCAAGCATAACAATGCTCAACAAGAAGAATCCTTTTGTCCTCTCCCTTCACATTCCCGCACGCAATCCTGCATCGTACAAGATTGTATGTATCAGTGTTAGGTGTGCTGCCTTTATTTTCGAATGGCACCAAACTCGCCTATCCATCACGTGTGTTGAATACAACCACAAGGCATGGCAACTTATAAGTGTGCGTTATGGTGTGATACAATTAAAAAAGAGCTACTTTTGTGCAATTAAGATGTAGTAGGCAGTCCATTCAAATAAATGGGTTCCCTACCTAAACGCACCCTGCAGCACACCTGTGATGTCAAATGATTTGTGCACAGAACCTAATGGGGACACAGAGAAAAATAAAAGCCTGACAGGTGTCCTAATCCCTCTTCACTATCCAAAACTAAAAAAAGAAAAAAAAAAAAAGTGTTGGATTCAGATGCACTTTAAAGTCGATCTCCAGGCAAATAAAAAAAGTGCCCTTTCAGTGGGGCTACCATCGCACTGCCAGGGTGAAGTGCTGGTTTATATCTAAGGGACCAGAGTAAAGCAGATTGACTCCATTCCTACTGGCTTCCTCCAGGCTGCTAGACCGGTCCCTGCAGACTCTTTTCCCTGGCGCTCAAAGGACTGCTAAGGTCATCACTTCTAAAGGTGGCCATACACTGTACAACCATCGCAAGACCTTAGTCTTGCGATGGTTGTAAAGTGAATAAAAAAAGTACGATCTGCCCATCTTGGACAGGCAGATCGTACTCTCAATCATCGCAAGCCCGCCCCCATGAGGGGCGGGATTCCGATGACTGCAATTCTGAACGGGCAGTGTGCGCGTGCGCACACCGGCCCGTTCGGCATTTGTCTCCCGATCACCATTCAAACCAGCCGAAAATCGTACGATTTTCGGCTGGTTTTCTAGCGTGCTCCTTAGACAAAAGACGTGCGACCGTACAGTAGAAACGGTCGCACGTCTTAGTTCCCACTGCTCGATTCTCGTACGATTGCGGGATTTCCCGCGATTCTCGTACAAGAATCAAGCAGTGTATGGGCACCTTAAAGCTGGCCATACACCTTACAACCATAGCACGACTTTCATTGTGCGATGGTTGTAAGGTAATTCAAATTTTGTATGATCTGCCCATCTTGGACAGGCAGATCGTACTTGCGATCATCGCAAGCCCTCCCCGCTTCTGATGATTGCAGTGCTGCGTGGGCAGTGTGCACTTGTATTCAACTCCCGAGCACGCCACTAACCTGCCGAAAATCGTTCCATTTTCGGCAGGTTTTCAAGCATGCTCAGAAGACGAATGTCGTGCGACCTTACAGTAGAAGAGGTCGCACACTGCCCATACACCTGCCGATTATGGTACGATAATCGGCAGGTGTATGGGCACCTTAATGCAGGTTCCATACAGCTGCATTAGATGTTAGGATGACGAGGAACATTCTACCAGCCAGAGGGAAGGGGAGAAGTGAGCGCTGACGGCTGGGGGATCAGACAAGTAGAAGTGCTTTAACCCGGCCCTCTAGACAGAAACGAGCACCTCGTCCCTTGCAATGCCGGGTAGTCCCATCCACTGCAAAGGTGGTCTATTTGTTTGTCCAGAGATGGGCTTTAAAGAACCACGCCAGTAAAAGTTTTATTAACCCTTGCCATGTACGGGTAGCCCCACTGCAATGGTTAATAAAACATTTTCCCAGAGTTGTTCTTTAAAGACTTGCTCATTTTCATCTATGAACCAAGATAAAAAAGTAACACCCAACCCAAACCTCAGAGCTGACTGGCTTTCACAGAGCTCCCCCCCCCAGGCTCTTTCCTATGCTGCAGCGATGGCATGTCCCGCGGGCGTCCTCATGTCCTATACACTGTGTATAGAGCGTGATGACTCAAGGATCCTTAGACCATTGTAGCAGAGAGGGAGGGAGACCGGAAAGGACCGGTATAAAGGAGTAAGCCAGCTTGGAGGATCAGGAGAGTATAACGTCCTAGATGAAAACAAGTAGTTAACCATTGCAAAGCTGCAAGGGTAAAGGAGAACTATGAGGTGAGTGCTTTTCACTCACCTCATAGTTCTAGCCGACCTGTGACAATGAGACTGTCACTGGTCGGCTCAGTAGATCGGGAGGTGAGCGAACACATACCGGCGTTCGCTCACCTCTCGATCCTGTCACAGCTCTCTGCCGTGACGGTCTCCGCCAGCGCTGACTGGGGGAACGGACGGGGGAGGGTACCGCTGGCTCTGCCCCTAGATAGGCAGAGCCAGCTGTCAGTCACGCAGCTGGGCGGATCCCGGCATAATTGTTGGGATCCGCTTCAGCGTCTCAGTATACCGCGAGCTACAGCTCACGGTATATTGAGCCTAGTGACGGGAGGACACTAGTTTGTGTCCTGCCGTTACCCTAAGGAGAACTATGGGGAAAAGCCTTAACCCCATAGTTCTCCTTTAATAATTTTTTTCCCCAGATGTGTCCTTTAAAGAACTGCTCTTGTTCATCTGGGGCCTGAAATACAAAAAGTTATACTCACCGGAACCTCAGAGCTGGCCGGCAGTCACATCGCTTCCTCCAGCCTGTGTCCCTCCTACACTACAGTGATGGTATGCCCCTCAGCGTCCAATACACAGTGTATGGAATATGATGACTCGAGGATCCTTAGAACACTGCAACGGAGGGAGAGCAAGGCCGGAAGGACCAGTCTAAGCACAAGCCAGCTCAGGAGGATCAGGTACAACTTTGTTATTGTGGTCCCTAGATGAAAATGAGCAGTTAACCCTTGCATTGCAGGTTTCGCCCCACTGCTAAGGTTAATAAAGATTTTGCCCAGAGTTCTGCTTTAAAACCAAGGAACTTTTGGGGACTCCGGTGGCGTTATGGAAGGTTGTGCTGAAATTTTCAGTATACACATCTAGCAGTGTACAGCCAGCTTCAGTACACCTCCTCCTACTCCATGCTCTGTAAACAAGCCTCTCTGTGTACTAGCCCAGCCTGCCAACAGCAGAAAATAAACAATGCTTCCACAACAGCCATTTCCTTCTTCGACGAGCACAGTAATGCTTCCACTTTTCAAGACAGCCGCCCCCTTCATGTCACTTCCAATCACATGCAGACAACACCCAGGGAAACCAGTGATGTTACGTAAGGAATGTTACACACAGAAAAGTCTGACAACATGACTTCATCTGGGAACAATCACATCCCCCTACCCCCAGACTGGGAGCCCCCTACACACTGATCCCGCACAGGGGACACACACGTGTCATCTCTGGACTGTGATCACAGCATGGCGTGTTTGTGTTGATATCATAGTGTGGAGGAGGAAGTCACCCTGAGTAGGGCCTGAGCGATACTCATACCCAGCACACAGGCGTAGTAGGCACCGAACGTCCGGTAAAACGACCCTTTATTGTCCACATTCCGCCCTCCCCCGGCAGGTGTGAGAGATCCGGGTGTGACAACGACTCCCTCCGTCCATAGCACCCAGTACCTCGGATGGAAGGCACACCGCACTTCCTGTGAGCGGCTTCCCGTGTCCACCCCACAATCCCGCTCGTTTACACGGCGATCCTCGCTACGATCAGCTCTACTTGTTATGAGTTCCTCGCGGTCCCGCCCAGGGTGAAGAAGGACTGGCACATGGGCACGGAGGGGCCCCTTACCTGCTGAGCTGGGTGAAGAGGGGCCCGGGGTGCCGCTTGCAGCACGGAGCGCTCAGATCTGCTGAGTTGTAATGTTACAGTTTCCTGGAATTACTCACTCACGGATTCCTTTCATTCATAAAAACACAGTCATGCACTGACGTCATTCTCGGGGCGGGTCTGCTGCTGTCACATGATGGGAACAGTGATGTCATTCCATGGCCTGCCTGATTTTAAAGGAGCAATGTACAATTAGTCTCAGATCACGGATAAGCAAACGAGCAGTCCGCTTCTATTACAACATGTTTACCTTTCATTGGAGGTTGTGTCTGTCTGCATTGCACGCTCCGGATCCTGTATATGGCACAAGAGACTGGCGACAGCCTGGAATCGCTGAGCTCTCTGAAGATATTTTTTCAGAACTGGAGCAGCTGTGCATGTCAGCCAATCAGCTTCTAGCTTTCATTTTCAAAGCTTAACTGAACAACCTGAAGAGAGAAGATGATTGGTTACTACGCTCCAGATTCTTTTTAGCAAACCCTCTGGTTTTTTTTTTGCATATATCTACTGCTAGCATGCAGTAGATATATGTAAAAACTTTTTTTTTTAAAACGCTTTAAAAGAGGTTTAAACTTGCGTGTGTCTACGCCGCACGCTTCCATCTGAAAAATCTCAGCGGCCGCAAAGTATCTTGGGGCGGGCGCATGCGCAGTTCAGAAGATGTTCGGCCGGGAGATGAGAGACAAGATAAGTCTATGGACAGCGTGCACCCGCATGCAGACACCATTGGACAGGAAGTGCCAGCAAGCACAGAGGAGTCAGCGATGGATCGGAGACCCACAGCAGCGCTGGAGGGAAAGCTGAAAATGATAGGAAAGAAGAAGAATATTGGATTAAGAGACATCATTTAAGGCAGCGTTTTTCAACCACTGTGCCGCGGCACACTAGTGTGCCGTGAGATATTTTCTGGTGTGCCGTCAATAGATCGTTAATTTCTTTGATCGATCAAAATTATTTTGATCGATCAAAGTTACTCACCTCTCCGCCGGCTTCCGGGTCTTCCGTTGGAGATCCGGTGACGTCACTGCGCACACCGGCCCGTTCCACAGCTATCGAACGAGCAGGCTAGAACCCCGCCGACAATCGTACGATTCTCGGCGGGTTTTCGAGCATGCTGGTTCGACAAAAGACGTGCGACCGTACAGTAGAAACGCCGTCCATAGACTGTACGATTCTCGTACGATCGTGGGATTTCCCGCAATTCTCGTACGAGAATCGTACAGTGTATGGGCACCTTAACATTGGGGGGAAGGAGAAAAAAATTATACTTCAATATATTTTCTCTCACTATCTGGAAATACATACTTACAAGTTATAGGCAACACTCTGGGGCATTCTGCAGATCTAATTCTGCTTTGAAAATAGGGTTGCCACCTTTTCTTCAAGTGAAACCCTAGCACAGTGCAGCAATTTTTTTTGGGGGGGGGGGATATACAGGAGAGACAGCCGAGAGAGAGAGAAAGGAGAGAGTGACACCACTGGCAAGCGGAAATAGAGCACACATCCCTGACCAGCAGTAAAAGGGGCACACACCACTGACCAGCAGCAAAGGAGGATCACACACCTGACCAGCAGTAAGGCCTGGTTCACACCTGGGCGTTTTGTAGCGCGTTCGTACGCTCTGCAAAACGCTTAAACACCGAAATCCCATTATTTCCTATGGGTATGGTTCACACCTGGGCATATTACAGGCCGTATAACCGCGCTACAAAACACCCTACGCCCAAAGAAGTACAGAAGCTTCTTTGGGGCGTTTTTGTCGTGCGTTTCCATTGGGATACAGCCAAGTAGCCCTCGGAAACGCGCGTTTGTCGCACTTTTTTTTACCGCAAATCGCAGTAAAAATGCGTGACAAACGCGCATATTCGATACGCCTAGGTGTGAACCCAGCCTAAAGGGGGCACCCACCACTGATGAGCAGTAAAGGGGGCACACTGCAGACCAGCAGTAAGAAATGCATATAGTCAAAAAGTAGTAAGTGAGCACACATTTTAGAAAAGCAATAAGGTTGGTCAGTCTAGCCTGTGAAAGAAAACAGTGTTGCATTGCCTGCATCTCCAGTCTCACTCCCAGCCATTCAGTGGAAGGATACAAGTGTTCTCCTACAACCCAGTAACCCCACCATCACCAGTCTCTGATCACCAGCACACACGGCCCTGACAAGCTGCACACTCAGTGCTGTCATGTGGCTGCAGAGGAGAAGCCAGCTCAGGGGTACTTCTTGGATGCCCAAGGGGCCTGAGAGAAGGGACAGATGCAGCACCAGTCACCCGTGAGTGTGCCAACCCTCCTCCCCAACCCTGCCCCTGATATCATGAATGCATGCCCAGGTCACCTACCTGAAGCTCCCATCCTCAGGCTAGAGAACACTACAACTTGCAGCTTTGTCTCCAGCCTTCAGTGCTCTGGCTTAAGCAGGGCCCCATGGCTAACCCTGTGAGCCTGATAGCTTTTGCCCGGTTTTCAACCGCCATGAAACCCGGGCACAGCACTCTAAAACCGGACTGTCCAGGTGAATCCCGGACAGATGGCAACCCTGTTTGAAAATCTGGAGCAGATGGTATAACAACCAATCAGCTTCAGTCTTTCATTTTCAAAGCTTAACTGAACAAACTGAGAAAGAGAAGATGATTGGTCACTATGGGAAACTGCTCCAGATTCCATCTGCTTCAGTCGTCATCAATTCCCCCCATTGGGCAACTGCTCCACATTCTGTCTGTTCCAGCTTTGAGAAATAATCCTCTTTGTATTTCTGTCCATCCCGTTCTGGGATTTACATTGCTCTGCCCCATATCACAGTTCTGCCTGACGGGAGACCTGCTCTTTCACTGCTGCAGTTTCATTTTCACTTACAGGTTTATTCTCGGATCTCTGACTGGACAGTGAAAGAAGTAGCAGCAAAGTAATGGGCTCTTCTCTTTGTCACTCTGTTCTCTACTCTTTTCAGCACGCTCCTTGCACTGAAACACACTTAGCTGGCTCTTTGTGCTCCTTCCCTCTAACCCTCTGCAGCTCAGGGACTGTAAGAGACTGATACTAAGTCAAATTCAAGTACTTAAAATGCTTGCAATTAAAAAAGTATGTGTAATGATTTATTAATGAATCAAATTATAATAATATGTGTTCATGTGTTAATGCTTTAAAATTTAGGACCTGCTGAAACCTCTAAATATGTAGAGCTGTCACATTTATATAGTGGGACATCTACTGCTGGGCTCATCATTGTATGCAATCAAATAAAACCATGAGAGATAGAGAGAGCGAGGGGGGGGGGTGATCCGTCGGGCAGATGCCGTTCAGCAGTTATCCGCTGCTTATCACTGCATATTTATAAAGCATGGTGATGTGCTTAGAGCTCCACCAGCTTTGGGAGTCTGAAGCTGGCAGAGCGCTTTTAAATGAATAAGAACTGCATGTCCCAGGGGTCGGGCGATAGCAATTCCACGCCCCTGGGGCCAGTATCGGTTGTGCTGCCCTTCTACTCCCTGCAGCCCCAAGGCCAAGCCCCGTTTGCTCCTCAACATTTTCTAAATATAATTTCTTCCTCTCCATAGTCCGGTATTAAGATCCCTATTCCCCAAGATTTGGTACCTTTTAGATTCTTATAGTGGAATTTTTTGTAGCACTTGAGGAGGGGAATGCTTGTCACTACCTTGTAACATTTTGCAAACATGTTCCCTTATTCGGATCCTGAATTACCGCTTCATTCTGCCCGCATACAATTTCTGTCATGGGCACTGTATAACATGAATAACTTTTAGTTGCACAAATAATACAATCTCTAATCTCATATGACTGTTGTGTATGTGGGGAAATAAGCTCCTTTATTTTTCTCCTTCTTGTTATATTCTTACTTGCCATACACGACCAGCAAATCCTTTACAACAGTTCAGCTTCACTGGGGCTCCAACTTGATTGGAATTATTTCTCTTCTTAACAATTAGTGCAACCTCCATCCCTAAATTCTTGGTTCCTTTATAAATAAATGTTGGCCTTACTGATAGCTTAGATGCTAAAATGGGATCCTCTACCAAGATATTCCAATATTTGGCTATTATACTCTTCACCAGATGTTATATTTAAACACAAATGCTACGTCAAACTCTTTTCCACTCGGTTGAAAGCCAATAAGAGTTAATAAGAGATAATTTATTTTACCTCTTATTAACTCCTTCCTCGGTTGGCTTTCAACCTGTTCTGCTTCTCTTTCCAAATTTTCCTTCTTGTAGCCTTTTTCCATAAATTGGGTTGTTATTAGTGCTTCCTCCTTCCTGTAGTCTTTTATGCTGCTACAATTTCTCCTATGGGGCATAAATTGCCCCTTTGCAATATCCATTAGCTGACCAAGTTACAACTGGTATTAAGGATATACGGTATGTATTGCAGTTCACCGATTTTTGGAAAGTTTTTGTAGAATGGTATAATTCTCAATGAAAATATCTAAAAAGTTAACTCTATATGTGCTTGCATAGGGAGTGAAAAGTACATTTTAAGTATTTGCAATTATCCCACATTGATCAGTTGCCCACCAAGAGCTTTTAATCTAGTATAATTGTGAATAGTTTATACACCTCTATATCCCATGATGAGGGGTAGTGGATGATTGAGGGTGTTATGGCTGATCTGCAGTTTCCTGCTGGACTGGATGACTTTGCTGTACAGCTTTTGGAATAATTTCTGAGATATAACTACTTCTTCTTTAACGGTCAATGCTTCCAGCATGTCCAGTCATTGGTTCAAATATTGCACCTAGATACATTAATCTATATATGGCCCATTTGGAGGAAAAATATGTGTCTATAATAATGAGCTTTTCTTGGAACGTGCGTGTATTTGTCAGGTTCACTCCAATTTCCTCCTATTTTGTCATTGGTGCCCGATGTGCACCATGACAGCGGGGGTCGTGCCCAACCCCATCTAGTAATCTGTCAATATTGATGACATATTTTTATATGGCAGGGATCTAAACCGCTATTATATCAATTTAAGAATTATCTTGACAACTGTGCCACAATCTGTTTCACCCTGTAGTGTAATGTCAATTCAGTTCACTTCCTTGATGTCTTGATCACTGACAATGAAGGGAAAATTGTCACTAAAATTTACCATAGGCCTACTGACCACAATACATACCTTTACTACAAGAGCTTTCATCCAAAATGTCTTAAACAGGA